AAGAAATTGTGAAAAATTAAAATGTAATATCAATTAAAGTATTAAAAATAATAATATAAAATTTAAAATATCTTTAGTAAATCAATATACACAAATTTTATTAAAAGTAATTGAATAATTTTACAAAAAAATCATAATATTTATAATATATTTAGATTGAAAAAAATTTTTAAAAAAAGGAAATTTTTTTTCAATTAATCAAATTATAATATTTAAAAAATATTATAATTTAATTAATTAAAAAAACTTTTCCTTTCATTCTTTCCCTTCAACCCAAATACAAGATTAAAGTGTTGAAGCATTTTGATTTTCACTTTCCACTTAAAAAAAAAAAACCCTACACACACAGACATCTTTTTCTCTCATTTCTTTTCCCATCTTTTTCCCTCCTTTTTTTTTCCCATTAATGGCTTCGGACCTTTCATTAATTAGGTGAAGGCTTCCACGAAATATATATATATTTTATGTTCAAAAAGTAAATAAAGTTAAAACAACAAAAAAATTCATATTATTTTTTACCAAATAAAACTAGATATATTGGCAGTCAAGTAGTGCCACACATTACAATAAAACCACACACAGAGACATAACAGAACATAGACATACCAATAACAGTAACTGAATCTAAAGTACTAAATAAACTAAAAGCCAAATACAACACAGAACGGTACAAGGGGCTGTGATCCTAGATGGGCGGAGCAGAAGGAGAAAAATAGCGCTGGCCATGCCCAAAGCCAGAGGTTTAGACATGACGAAGCTGGTAAAAGGACACCGAAGCTGCTGAACATCTTTGGTTAAGTGTCCTACATAAACCCAAAACCAAAGACAGTAGAAGGTGATAAGTGGCAGTGTCAACACCTTATTTGAGAGGCGTGTAAGGAGATAAACATGGCAAATCATGGCAGCAGTTAACAGGAATCCACTGAATACAGAAAAAGAACACTGCCCAACATCTTTGGAGGAGCATACTTTTAAGGAAGGATGCATTGCAGCAATTGTAAAAATAACAGCAATAGGCAGAGCAATAACTGCTTGGCGGTCCATCATTTGTTTCTGTTTGGAGTAGGAACAAACAAACTGATGACATTAAGACAAAGAAAACGAACAATATGAACTAATGGCAAAAACACCGAGAAATTAAAGCGATGCACTTATGCTTGTATGAATGAATTTTAGCAAACAAAGATTCAAAAACTAACTTATGGTTGACAAACTGTGACCTAAATCAATTATGCATCTCACAACATGCTATGTGTTAGACCTCAATAACATAAGCGAGAAGTGCTGCGCTTATTATGCATGTCTATGCAAATAAATTTAGCAAATAAAGATTCAAATTTGAGTCTATATTTAAGAGAAACCGTGACCTTAATCAGTACTTATACACAAAATCTGTTAATCATATCTCTAATTGAAGAACCTAGGCTGGCCCTAACCATCTGCATCATCAACACCATCCAAACATAAACTTTGGAGATCAAGCAGATCTGACTAGTCCCTGGACAATCATCCAAATTCCAAAAACCCTAATTTAGTAAAGTAAAAAGGTCCGTCTTTTATTGAAGAACATCTTATGACAGTTTCAATTCAAACAATCATTTTTCTTATTATCAGAGCATGCATCTCAGCAAAACCTAGCACTAATTCAAGTCTTTTTAAAGTAAATAAATAAAAATAATATAAAAAAAAAGACCCAGTATTGACCAGAAATAGAAAACATTTCCCCTTGTTAGAAGCTAGACTTTCTCGGAAACCAAACAGAGAAATAACTGGCAAAAATCGAGAAATTGAAAGATAAACAACAAAATCCAGGAGGAAACCTCGGCGGTAGCAGCTTGCTTCGTCATTTTACTTCTGATATACCTTGAAGTTGAACGATCCTGATAGATTTTGGTTCCCAGAAACTATTGGGTCGAATGTGTGGAGATCTCCGAACAGTTTTCCTCTCAGTCGCTGGCGATTTTGACTTCCGACCAAAAAATATTGGTACCACGGCGTGCACTAGAAAACCTAAAGTGGCTTCGCTGTGGAATGATGCTTCGAAGGTGGAAGATAATATAAAAGAAAAAGACAGGAAAGAAATAGGTGCTTTGGAGTTTGGGCCTGAGGCTCGTTTTTTGGAGTTCTTCAAGTTTGAGATACTTTTCACTTGCCCCTCTATATTTTGATTAGGCCTTTCATATACATTTTTAATTTTTAAACTATTAATTTGAGGAAAGAAAAAATGCATATTTATTATAAATTGAAGGACTAATAATATATATTTAAATAAACTTAATCAATTAACTGATAAAATATTAAAAAAATACATTTTTATAATTAAAAGACTAAAAAAGTATATAAAAAATTAAGAAATGAAAACTATGCAAAATCCTAAAGTTGAGGGACCAAGGTTAGAATTTAACCTAGTTACGAGCTTCAACTTTATACAAGAAACTTCGGGTCCATTGCAACTTCTTCGCTATTCCCATGTCAGCCTAATCTATTAACATATACATAAGGCTCAATTTACAGGACTACAACCTAAAAGGATGTCATTCACCTTCTGTTAAAATCATATTTTGTAGTCAGTAAATATATCCTCGCACGAGCTTCACTCTCCTCCATCAGCCCTGTAAGTTTGGTCACATTGAGGAGTTTTTGACACAAGAATGTCACCAAAAGCATTGTCTTGCTCTACATCCACCAACCCTTTAGTTTTCAAGACCTGCAAAATTGTTGTGTAGAAACCGTTGTTAGGTCTGCATCATATTTCCTTAGTACTCTCTCTCTCTCTCTCTCTCTGTGTATGTGCAGACAAGCTTTTGAACATACCAGTATCTCATAGAAGAGTCTTGAACTTTCTTTCTTTGTTTTTCCCCGTAGAAGCTGTAACATATGCACTTTTTCCTCCTCTCCTCTTTTCTTTTTATCAAGAAAGGTTCTCCGCAAGAACTTAGCCACCAATCTGTACATCACAAGTTCAATTAATTAATTGGAAGGAGATTTTGCTAGAAAGCTTTAGGGATTTGTTTTGGAAAAAGAAAGAGAACAGCAGGTGCTCTATCCACCTTACCTGGTCCTCTCTGACCATCCATCTGCAACTCAAGACAAGATTTAATGTCAGCATGTTGCAGAGAGAACAATATTCAATAAAAAATGAGAAGAATGATAGAAACAAAATTATGGCATCCAGCTTAACTCAAAATGATTCTTACCTTGTTCCTGGATGTCTCCATCACCACATGAAAACACCTCCTGCCAAAAGAAAAATAATAATATTCAAACAATAGCCAGTGCCTTGTATGTCTAGTGTCTTAGATTTGTAGCAAAAGTAAATTGATTCATTAACTTGCATGCCTTTTACAATGTCCAGCAAAAACTTTATTTACCTACCTTTTAAAGAAAATTATACTGCAATCGTTATCTTACCTCACTCATAAAGTGGAGATTAAGCTCTTGATCTTTGCTCACAGAAGGTTCTTTCTCTTTGGTTTCAATAGAATGTGCAGATACCACCACAGAAGGCTCTTTCTCCTCTCCACCAATTTTGGTGCAAACACTTGGAGGAGGTCCCTTCTCTTCAGATTCAATAGCATGGGAATATACATCAATGCTAACAGAAGGCTCTTTTTGTTCTCTTCCAATAGGATATTCACATACAGCTACATCTATGGGCTCCTCCTCTACATCATGGCTATGCTCAGGTCTCCCATAGGATCTCAATGATGTTGAGTGTTGAATGGGTGTTTGTGGAGCAATTTCTCTTTGCTCTGGGGATCTACCAACAGGAGGTGTTGAAATCTGTAAAGTTTCCAGAGGTTTGGCAGGTGCTGGAACCTCTAACCTTTCTGGAGTTTTGATAGTTTCAACATATTCTCGTACTTTCAAATTTCTTCTGTGGTGGAGTGATCTAAGTTCAGATGTACCTGCCATGGATATGGTACTTTAGATTGCATAGCTGGGGGAAGGAAGCAGAATTATGTTAGTTCACTTACATGGAACTGAAGGTTCGGAGAAACCATGAACAAGATTGGAGATAAAAGGCTTATTCCATGCAGCCCGAGCATTGTGAACACCATTTTTACGTTTACAGACCAAGTCACTTGGGTTGTTTATCCACTGCTTAAGTACCCTGCAAATATTGGATTAAAGGTTACTCATTACCACCTCAGAGCAATATCCATGACATGAAATTATATCATTTTTGATAGGTAAGGATGCCAATGAGCAAGGCCAACCAAATTTTTGGCTCAGCACAACTAAATGTTTGAAAAATTCAGGTTCAGCCAAAGTTTGTAAACTATTTGATAAAGCAAGGAGTAGCATTCAACTAGCCTAATTTAAAGTTACATGGAAAAAATGTGACATTATACTAGTACTTAACGCATTGTGCCATATTATTGTAGAGGAATGCCATTTATATTGCCTAACGAACATCATACCAACAGCATGTATAAAATTACACAGCGTCTCTCTTCAAGAAATTGTAGACTAGCAAGTCTGTGCTACTTCTGGACATATTCAGGTCATAAGCTCAAGGCAATATCACTTACTTATTAGGAAACACTATCATATCATCAAAGACACATCTTCTTTTCCTTGAACGCTGAGCACGCTCCTTATTGGCAGGTGTTCGAATAAGCATAAAATCTGGTGCAGTAAATCCTGCTGGAAAAAATAAAAGATTTATGTGGAATCAAGGACCATAGATACTGTGACTGCAAAACTTGATGTCTCAAGAAAAAATAGTAGCAGAAAAATGTGCAGCTGTCCAATGGGTAAAGAAGACAAAATAAAAATAAAAATAATAAAAAATCAGGATAACTGTCCAACTCAGAAAACAAATGATCTAAGAGAAGCTATTCAAAAATGGCTAGAGACTATTTAATCTCTTAGAATTATACCTGAAGCATCTGGCAACTTCGACTTAGGAGTTGCATCAGTATTAACAGATATTGGATGGTCTTCAGCAATAACTTTGTGCCCTCTGTCTTTTGAAGTTGAAGCTCCTGGGAATTTCATCTGTTCAACATCAGGGCAATCCTCATTACCAAATGGTCTAACAAGTTCTGAAGGTTGCTGAACGCCCTCTTGAGGCAATCTGTTGTCCCGAAGCTTCTCTATACTTGCTTCAAACTCCAAATTCCTTGTATCACTTTCTGCCTCCATTGCTGGGTCAATTTCATTATTCAATTGTTCTGTGTTTGGATCATTTATCTTCTCTTCATTTGTATGGTCTTGCCCGCATGGTGCCGTAGCACCAAGAGGCTCCAACTCAATTTCACTACGAAGATTTACACATTCTTCTTGAGAGAATCTATCATCATGTTTCTCCCTGTTGGCCTCTCTGCACATAAGGTTCTCTGACTGCACCACTTCAGGAACCTCTACATGTTCTGGATCAGTGTCATAACCTTTATCATAAGATCGAACAGGATCTGGTGCTGCTTCCTCAGTGCCCAAAAACGATTCATGATGTAAATTTTCTTCTTGAAAGCACATATCACATTGAATCTTTTTGACAATTTCATCTAGGTTACATAGGACTTCTGACATTCTCGCTTCTGTATCAATGTCCATGAAGTGAAATGAGAGTTCACTGCAATGTAAAATGAAAAATGAGCTGCCTCCAAAGAAACCCAAACAAACCCCAAGAATATTATTTCTATGTTTGTTGCCCAAAAACTTAACAACTGATATAGACATGCATACTCTTCAGTTTGATTGCAATCCATTGGAAAGGTATCATAGGAGGCTGCAAACTCACAATGGTACTGCAAATTGCATAAAATAAGATTTTAAACAAATACTGGCAGTGAACACAATAATCAGGGCATGAAAACTGCTGTTGGCAACCCTACTCTGCCAACAATTAAGAACCTCAGTATGAGAGATACCTTGTCTAGAGAATATTGACCTGATCCCTGACTGCTGCATGCTACATCTGTTTCATTAAATATCAAATTATACCAACAAAAACAAGCATAATGGAAAAAACAAAATACTTGTTGAAGTGAATGGATACCTTTCAGTGTGATATCTTCTTGGGGCCTCACATTGTGCCTAGGAAGGAGGATCAACCATATTATGAATGATTAAAAAATAAGAAAATCAACAACAGAGTGTACATTCTGTAAACTAAACTATGAGAATAGCTTACTCATTGGCATCTTCAAGGATCCCTAGATCGAAAGCATCTAATTCAAAACTCTTTGGTAAAGTGATGGAGAAATATGGTGTGCGAAGGATCTCAGTTTGTGCTTTATCCTTTTTTTGAACCACAAAATCCTTAATTTGAACCAGCACCTCGTTGCAATCATGGTAGAGATACTCAACCTTCCTGGAGTATATTCTGACAATACCAAGAAGAAGGTATGCCAGTACTCTATATGTTAGAACTTCAAACTGGTCTTGCAAAATCTTGTCTGAATAGGGAGAAAAGAAGAAAGCAAAACTCAGAAACTCTCTGTGCACTGAAAAGACGGTCAATAGCAATATCTTTGCAATAATTGTAGAAAGGAAGAAGATAAAATCCTTGAAGAATGTCATACCTAATCAACTCCAATAAATGGTATAACATACCTAATCAAATCCAAATTTAAAAAGAAACAAAATTTGTAGAACATGTATGATGGAAACAGGTATAAAATACTTCTCGTTCCACTCAAAACAACATTCCCCAACTTGAATAAAACAGTTTAGTAAAAAAGCATAACTAGTCCTCGCTCACTTTCCAACAAAAAAAAAAAAAAAAGGAACACCATAGACGGAGAGTTGAAATCAGGAAACTTGTAACGGTTTAAAGACATTCAAAGCAGGAAATTCTTAGGCACAAACCATATAGAAAGACCCCTTTGAAGCAATTTATCATACACTTGGTGTACACTGTTTAATACCCAGTAACCGTTATCCCTCATCTCATACACCACCGACAATTTATGTTCTTCAATGATATGCAACCAATATAACAGAAGAAAAAAAATGCAATACCAACCCTTTTTTGCCATCATTTAAAAATCAAAAACCCAGAAACAATAATGGAAAAAAAAAAAGACCACCTCCCCAAAAAAAAGCTACAGTACAAGGCTCAATGTAATCATATTAACTTCTATCTTTTTGCAAAGAAACATGCAAGATCGAAAGCGAAAGAACCCATGAAGTTGAAGAAGAGAGACGAACCAACAGAGGAGGGGATGTCAGTCTCAAAGACTTGAGTTTTCTTGAGCTTTTTGAAGTAGTAAGCAGCTACCCAGATGGCGCCTAAAGGGCCTTTTCGCGTGAGAAGGCAGTGTGAATAGAACATGATTACACTCCTTCCCTTACTCTCTCAAGCTTCCCCCCGTTTGGGGCATAGATCGGTGTATTCAATTCAGAGACGGAGATTTTGTGGACTCGAGATTGGAGGGAGAAGGAGAGATTTGGGGGTTTATATGAAGCAAACGGTCGAAAGGTGTCCCTGACAAGCCTAGCAAATTAGAACTTTGTTTTTATTTTAGAATTTCTTGGGAAAAATTAAAATTTCCAGTAAGCATTAAATGACGGTAAAGACCTTGCCTTATTTGTGCATTTTTACCTTTTCAAAGTATAAAAAGTGACGAAGCATGATATTATACTAATTGTATATTTTATAATTATTAATTAAAAATAAATATTTGATTAAAGTGGTGATTTTCTATGATATACAGTATATAGGATTACAAAATAATAATTTTTTGTTTTACTGTCAGGATATTTTAGGCTAATTTTGATAGATTTTGAGATGAATTTTTTAATAATTTTAAAAATACACTTTAATGTTGATCTAATTAATTTAATATATTTTAAATTTTTAATTTTTTTTAAATACTAATTATAAATTTTGAATTCTAAATTTCACCTATAAAGTGACAATTCTTTAGTGACAGATGCAATGCTTTGAGTTACCGATCCCATTCTCGTATATAATTACAGGCCATATGACTATGACAATTTTATCTTAACCTTTCTTTCAAGAGCTAAAATCTCTTTGTAACTATTATGAATTTATGATAAGTAAGATTTAGTATAGTTAATTAGGTTTCATTAAAAAAAAAGTGCAGGTAATTAGGGCTGAAAAATAAAAATCTAAAATGGTTTAAAATTGGATAATGACATGTATTTAAATTTTGAATTGAAGTTGCCAATTTGAGGGAATACTACCATGAAACAATGAGTAAATTGTGGGGTATGTTTTTATGCCAAGCATGATAAATTGCGATAAGAATGGTGAAAAATGCATATTAATCATAATTTTTAAAAGAAATTGGAGTTTTAAGTTTTAATTTAAAAAATATTGTTTTATTTAATTAAAATTTAATTTAAAAGTTAATAATATATACTATTAAATGTTAATATCTAAATTTAGAAATATATAATTAGTTTAAAAATTTAGATATCAATATTAAATAAGATGAATTTTTTAAATTTTGAATTGAATTTTTTATTTTTAAATGTAAGAATTAACATTTAATAAAATAAATTTATAAATGTTAAACTAAATAAAACCATGTCATTTAAGGTTAGAATTTTAATTTTTTTTAAAAAATCAGTAATAATAAGAACTATCCTCATAATAATTATGTAATTTTTTTATTTTCAAAAACGGATTTGTTTTCACTATAAAAAAAAATAGAAATGTTTTCAGATTGATTCATTGAAAAAAAAAAAAAAAACCTTTTAATCCATTAGATTAGATGTTTTTAAATTGCCATTATTCTTTAAAAAGTTTCCTGATGAAGGACAAAAATAATGTCTTTGCGCAAGATTAATCCTAAAAACTTAAAAGAAGGATTAGCAATAGCAGCTTGTGGCTGTGTGTCACCAACAATAATTTTTCATCAATACCTGCATGGTAAACTTTCAATTTTTTGACATGTGTAAAAGTTACACTAAGTGACGTGTCAAATCAAAAGTTTCATAACTAACGATTTAAATAATTCAATGATTATTTTTTTTCATTAAAAATAAAAGATCTTAAATTTAAATTATATGACATGCGAATGAAATAAGATAAGAGATGAGAGATAATTGCTTTTCATTGTGCAACAAAAATAAATAAATAAATAAATAACCAGAAGCCTCCTGAATTTAAGCACATGCACCAGCTAATCCCCAACCCATGGAAAAAGATGGCTACCTGTTAACATTTTACATTAACGAATTCCACTTCTTTGAGATGCTATCACAACACAATGGAAATTGGAATCGACAATAAAATAAAATTGCTATATTATAAATATATGGTGTTTTTTATTTTACTTATCATTGTTTTAATTTAAAAAATATTTTAAAAAATAAATTATATATTAAAAGTGTAATTCATTTTATAAATTTACTTAAGGATTTTTAATAAAATTATTTTTTCTTATTTCAATAGAAATATTTAAATAAATTTATAAAATAAATTACACTTTTAATATACAATTTATCATAAAAAATTTAAATCCATTTTTAATTTACATAATTATAAATAATATATATTTTTCAATATATCAAAAAGTTTAGCGAGAGAAGCTGCTATGTTGGTGACTGTCTCTCATTTCCCATATTTTTTAATTTACATGATATATATTTCTAGTACATTAAAAAAGTTTAATTATTATTTATTTTTAACAAGTTGTCAAGGGACGGGTTCAAAATCCACCCATAAAGATAAGAAAATGTACCTCAAACTGACAGAATATCAATCGACTTGAAGGGTTAGATGCAAAAAAAGTTTAATTATTTTGTAATATAAATTCTTGATCTTCACATTTCAATCTAATGGTTTAAACCTTGGGTTTGTACTAAATAATTTTTTATGAATTGCACGTTTAAATCTCACAAATTCTCTTTTTTCGATCATTATTTACTTAAATATGTATTTTTTTTTTTCAAAAAAAAAAAAAGAATTTGAATTCTTAATTTTAATTTTAATTTGAGATTTTATTGGTTAATAGATCAACCTCTGATTGATTACATCACATGCCAGTATGTCAGTAATAAAAGGTGCTACATTGGGCTTCAAGGCGTTTAATGGACATGAAAGTTCGTTAGAGGGCTTGATTGCATCTAAGGACTTAGTTTAAGGCCGATATTCTGTTTCTGTTAAAAGTAAAAAGGTGAAAAGTGAATATATTGTTCATAATTGCCAATTTGTCATGTTGAAGTGGAAAGAAATCACGACTCAAACAATTATAAAGTAATTTTTCATTTAAATTTTTATTTTTAAGAATTAATAATTGTTATTAATTTTTTATTACGTTTTAAAAATAATAATTTAATAAAAATTAAAAACAATGCTTATCTATATTATCTCATAAAAAATAAAAAAATTTATTTTAAAATTACGTAATTTTAATAAATTTTTTTGAAAAAAAAATTAAAATACTTTATTTTTTAGAGTATGAATTGAAGTATTTTTTTATTATTTTTCATAATACTTTATTGAAGCAATATAATTTCAAAATATTTTTCTTTTAATTTTTAAGAGGTAAACAAATAAATACCAACATTATAAAAATTATTAAATTTAAATTAATTTATTAAAAATAAAAATATAAAATAATAAATTGGGGTCAATGGTATTTTTAAGTGAGAATTTGTTTTAATGCCATAATTGTGGGGCAATTTGCACATGATACAAGAAATTTCGGTAAATACAACAGAAAATGAAGGGCTTTAGAAAAAAGATCAACAAAATTCTGGTGGGCCGCTGAAGCCCTAAAACCTAGAAGGATTCAAGAGACGGAAACGAACGACAGACACAGTGGGGAAGGAGAAAGATTGATAGATGACTATGTATCTGAGACGAGCAATTACGCTTAGGAGTTCGATGCAGCTTCTTAGAAGCTCAACAATCCAATCTCGCAACGTTTCACACATTATCTCCAATCAAAATCTCGAAGCATGTAATACCCAGAAAGCCGCAGCTTCTCCTGCCTTTGATTTCCTCAGAGATTCCCGTCTCGAAGCATGTAATACCCAGAAAGCCGCAGCTTTTCCTGCCTTTGATTTCCTCAGAGATTCCCGTCGAGGCTTTGCCAAGGGGAAAACATCAAGTACCTATCTTTCTGCCGCACTCATTTTAGTTTATTAACATTGATATGTTGCTCTATTTAGTTGAATGATTGTATGATTTCTGTCTTGATTTATGAAATGCTGCTGGGTGTTGGCTCTGTGATCTTTTTTGACATGCTAATTTTTGTCTACCTAGCGTTCTATGTGCTAGAATCTGTGCAAAAAGTTGGTGTGTCATGGAAATCTCAAATTGGGTCTTATCTAATTTGGTAGAAAAATAGAAAGACGGGTCATTGTTTTACTTTAGCAGTAACATAACAAATTTGGGTATCATCTATTAGTGTTGTTTCTTTGAATTGCAACATATATGCTTTGCCCACTGCTGATTTATGTTCATTTGCATTCTCAGAGGATGACTCTGGTACTGGTAGGAGGAAACTTGGAGTTTTCCTGGGTGAGAGAAAACCTGAATTTTTCTTGGATACAAGAAGTATCGCGAAGTGCTTGTATGTTATGCGTATGGAAGAAGCTAGAGTTGCATTATCGCGAGAATTGAAGAACCTGAGAACAGGAAGAGCATCTTCAGGTCTGTTTTTGATGGCTCAAAGTTATGTTAATCTGTTTATTATGAGTTGTGGTTTAAATCATTGACAATTGCATCTACGATGGGTTTCACAGGAATGCTTGACCACATTATAGTAGAATTTGAGGATAGGAAGAACAAATTGAATCAATTAGCTGATGTTTCAGTGATAGATTCGAAAACCTTATCAATTGATCCTTTTTATCCAGAGCCAGAGGTAATCAACTCCACCTCATATTTTCATTTTCTTTTTTTTTTTTTAATTTTATTTTAAACTGCTGATTTTTCCAAGCTGCTCCTAACCATTCCTCCCCCAACCAAAAACTTTCAGTCAATTTACCAATATTGGCATGGTGATTTTTTTTTTTTTTCCTTTTTCATTTAAGTTATTGAAAATTTTTATCTGAAAATTATTAAAAAGATTATGTTCTTTTCTGGTTGTTTGTCCATCTTTTCAAGAATAAAATTTGGAAGCAAAAATAAGATACTTTATTCAACTCTCTGACTTGTTCTCACACATATAATGCACTGCTATAGCTTTAAAGTGACATTCTGCTTCCATCATGCCAATAGCCTCTGTAAGTTTAGCAACTTAAGTTGGAAAAATCACTTGCTAAACAAAGTGATTGTCTTTGGCAGAAAATAAAAGCTATAGAGAAAGCAATTGTTTCATCCTCGTTGGGTTTAAATCCTAAGGTGGATGGTGATCGATTAATTGCAGCTATTCAACTGTAAGTACTGTTTATAGTCTCTTTGTGTGAGAAATTGGCTGCTTTACAGATCATTAAATAACGTGTTTGATTGATATTCTCTTCCCATGTTTACAATGAACAGATTCACTAAAGAGGATGTGGAGGTGAGCTAATTGATTTTTATTTAAAATTTTCATCTATGCCATGTGATTGCAACATATTCTCCTATAACTGGAATTTTTTCTCATCAGGCTACGCGTAAGGAGCTTTCAAAGTGTTGCAAAGATGCTAAACAAATTCTTAGAAGGGTTCGACGGACGGTATTTAAGTAACAAATTGTAGTTTTTAAGTGGAAATCCTATGGCAAATGCTGTATTTAATGATTACTTGCTCTCTCTCTATACATTAACATTATATCATCAACACAAATGTAAAACCAGTATTGTGGCCAAATTGGTACTTGAGCATCTCGCATCTGGTCAACATAGAATGATTTGTAAACATTAAAAAATATTGTGTTTACTTAGAAGGCTTGTAATTCATGTTCCAATTCATTGCCAGAATATCGGATATCCCAATTTTTTTTGTCTAAATAGACTTGTTGTTTGCAGGTATTGGACAACATGAAGAAAGGCATGTCGAGGTGGGGTGATGCAGAGCTAGTACGGAAAGAAGTGAGTTGTTAGTTTAGCACCACCAATTGGAAATTCTCTCAAGTGCTTTTCACTGGTCTTTACTGTTTTCTGATGTCAATCTTTCTCCAGATTGACGAGAGATTTAAGGAGGATGTCACGTGGGTGGAGGATACGTGCAAGGCAAAGGGGAAAGACATCACCCAAGCCTGGGCGGAGGATAGGTGCAAGGCAAAGAAGAAAGAGATCATCCAAGGCTGAGTAGCACCGTTCCTGCATGCAGTCTGACACCTTGGTCCTGATCGAAAAGTCTAGGGCTGCAAGTTGGTCCTGGATTATCCATGAGCAAACCTGATCCAATCCAATCCGTTGGATTGATTGGGTTGG